AGTCTGGACTGTCTTTTTTGTGCGACAAACTTTCCTTTCTCCTTCAATACTATCGAGATAGAACCAAGATTCATCAGTCACGATGAGACTTTTATAGCGACTACTAGCGCTGATATTCGATAAAGTTGGCGTTTGATAATGTTAATTTATTAACTTTTAGTTTTTTACGAAAAGTGAAGTTAGCAAATTTTGTGGTTCTTGAAGTAGTAGATTAGCTTACATGACCAAATTTGATAATCGAACGTTGAGTAGAAAGATTCTAGACGTCAATTGTTTGAATTGCTTTTAATAGATTCGATAATTTAGCTACTGATCGTTTTCGAGAACATTTAATTTTTTCAATAGAATTATATTGATCGGCAATCTTTCATTTAACATTAGATACAGATTTTTTTTGAGATATACTGATTCTATCATTTTTCAAAATTTTAACTAGCATTACTTTGAAAAGAGAATCAACATACAAAGAGATAGAGAATGATCTTCGCCTACCACATAACATGATCATGCAATTTTTCCTTTCTTTCCTGTGAAGCGCATATGACATTTCAAAACTAATAAAAATAGGTGAATTATACTGTACAATTCATATTAAAATAAATTGAAATCAATTCATTTCTAGATCATTATTTCGTCATATTTTAGCCTGCTAGTGTATTTTAATAAGAACAATAACTAGATATTGCTTTCAATATGATTATTGTCGGATATGATGAAATAGGATTTTTGTATATTACCTAGACGTTTACTAAAAATGACATTTCGATCAAAAACAAAACAAACAAAAACTAATGAGATTGGTTATCTTCAAAGTATTTAATAATGCTAGAAAAACAGACAACTATCAAAATTGCCTTAGATTAATAAAAGAATAAGAACGTGTATTAAACATGCCTACATAACACGAAGTAAAACTTATTTATTACCGACATTGTGCGACATCGTATTCTAGTATATATCTACTTCAAAAGAAAGGTTAATAACAGCGAATGAGTTGGTCTATCCAAGAAATATAAATGAAACGTGTAAAATCGTTCTTCAAGTACTTCACATTCGAAAACCTGTTTTCTTTTTCTTTTGTTTCTCATTGCACTAGTTTTCTATTAAGATTATCATTTTCTATCAACAATGGCAGATGAATTAGCTAACCGTATTACAAATGAATTAAAAGATCGTCTACCTGATATTACTAATAAAAATGTTCTAGCTATTGTCAATGATGTAGAACAGTAATTGTATTATATCAATTTATTATTCATTTGATTTTTCTTTTTTCTTTTATTTAGTCCAACATTTTATACAAAACTATTGCCGAATACTGAACAATTGATTGTATTCACAGAATCATCTAATATTTATAAACAATTAGATGAAAAATCAGAAAATTTTCAAAAAACACCGATATTAAATTGTGCTAAATTTAATAATGCTGAATTACAAAATAATTTGTAAAAGTATTTAATATAAAAATTAATTTAAATGAAATTGTTTTTTTTCTTAGATTTGATGTTATTCTTCTTATTAAATCATTTAATCGATTAAGTGTTGATGAGAAACAAAAAATGTTAAAAAATCTTTTAAAAACTCTTAAAGTTAATGGTCAAGTTTTTGTTTATGAAAGTGAATGGTCAAAAGATAATGGTATGAATATAAAAACGATTCTTTTCTATTAAAATTTTATTGTTTAATTTTGTTAAGAAAATCATTTAAATAATCCAGTTGATCTTATTCATTATTTTAATTCTGCTATAATAACTGAAAATGAAAAATATGGTTTTGAATTTATTTCTTCACGACCATTGCGTAGTTATGTTGAAGTAAATATAAATCAAATGTATTATTGTTTTTATTTAATGTTTTATTGAAATTTAAAATATTTTCTAGAGTAAACAAGAATCATTTCATATTTGTTATATTTTTAAAAAAATTACTAAACAAGACGATCATGCAACATTACAAGATTTTCTTGATCAACAACAATATTCTACACGTGGTGTTTTATCTTATGAAAGAATTTTTGGATCTGGTTTTGTATCAACTGGTGGTCCGGATACAACAAAGGTTTGTTTATTGTTAAACAAAATAAAAATGATAATTATCTACTAGAATAGAATTTATAGCAAATTAAGATCGCTGATATTCTCTATCGTTATTATTTGTTTCATAATAAAATAATAATAGAGTATTATGCCGATATAATCGGAAGAATATCCATCATTATTATTAACATAGGATCGATTGTTAGCAATACTTTGAGTAAGATGATTTAGAGGAATTTCATCAACATGTATTTCTGTTTTTATTAAGAACAAATAAATAATCGATGAGATCAAACTATAAAAAATTAAATATTTATTCTTTAGTTAGAAAAAATATTTGTATTGTTTAGGAATTTGTTGAATCATTTAATCTTAAAAGTGATCAACACGTTTTGGACGTTGGTTGTGGTATTGGTGGAGGTGATTTTTATATGGCTAAGGTATAGTTTTATAAACTGATTACAAGTTTATTGTTTTGTTTTTCAAAAAGACATATGGATGTTCGGTAATTGGTGTTGATTTATCTACTAATATGGTTAGTATTGCTTATGAACGGTTAATGAGTATGTCAGCTAATAAGCTTAAGGTAAAATTCGTTGTTTGTGTTCTATTACTAAAATATTTAACATATATAAATTTAGGTATCATTTGAAATTGGTGATGTACTACATCATGAGTTCAAAGCAAATTCATTTGATGTTGTCTATAGTCGTGATACAATTTTACATATTGCTGATAAGATGAGTCTATTTTCTCGTCTTTATGTAAGATGAATTTTATGGAAACAAAATTTTTCTTTATTCTCTTTTTTTTTCTTTTTTTATTGAACAGGGTTGGCTTAAACCTGGTGGTCAATTATTTATTTCTGATTATGCATGTGCACCGAAAAATGAATGGTCAAAAGAATTTGAAGACTATGTCAGTCAAAGACGATATGTACTTTTAACTGTACCAGAATATGGCAAAGTAAGGCTAAATATATATATGTGTAAGTGATTTTCTTTTATTTTATTGAATTAGCTCTTGGAAAGTGTTGGTTTTAAAAATGTTAATGCTCAAGATGCAACGGATAAATTTGTTGAATGTCTTAAGATGGAATTAACACGAATTGAATCAATTAAAGATGATTTTATTCGAGTATGTCTATTTTGAGGTGTTTTTAGTTCATTCGTCAATTGAAATACCTGATTTTTCTTTTTTTTTTTTCGAAGGAATTTTCCAGTGATGATTATGATCATTTAATTGAAGGTTGGCATAAAAAACTTGAACGATGTGCCAAAGGTGATCAACGATGGGGTATTTTTCGAGCAAGAAAATGAAATAAAACAATGAGTAACAATCAAATTGTGCTGCTATCAACACAGTGAAGTTTTTAGCGAAAAAGAAATTTATTATGTTTTAAACTTCATTGCTCGTAAAAATAAAATAAAAAGATTAGCATCGTTATTTCTCAGCTGCCTGGGAACTAATCTATAAGCATTACAGTGCAATATGAATAGACAAAAAAAAGTTCGAAGGGCATGAGAATATCATCTTTTTTTGTGTCGTCGATTTGCATTCTTTATCGGTTTTTTTTCAAACATTTTTATCGAAGAAAAATATAACATATGAAAATTATCTTCCTATCGATAAAATACATATTAAGTACAATGGCAATGATAAGAGTATGTGATATAATGCTGCTCTATTATCAATGAACTTTGATATATGACTACGCAAATGAAGCCTAGAAAACGAATTAATAAGACACAATATGTTACGTGAATATATAATCATCATTTAGGAAGATAAAACTATATTGGTGAATTTTTTTCAAGACAAGCAAATCTTAATAAATATTGAAACACAAGAAATAGACATAATGTATTTGTGTAATGTGATCTCACAAAGTCAATATTATTTTTCTATTTATGAATAGAATGAGGATAAAACTTTTTTTTTCAAATCATTTTGTAAAATATATCAGAGAAATTCAAAGTATATCTATATAAACGAGCTACAATTGATTTCGAAATCTGTCTTTTAAATTGAATATATTTCAACAAAATAAAAATTTAATATAATTCTCTAAAATATGGTTTTCTCTTCAATAAATGATCTCTTTGTGATTCTTGTAACATGGGTTGTGTCTTTCTCGAAACAGACTTTAGATACAAGGTGTCCCATAAGTTGTGGCAGATTTTTTTAAAATCTACTTAAAAAAAATCTGCCACAACTTATGTGATACCCTGTATATATTCAAAAGGGAGTTCACATAATGAGAAACAAATTTCATGTAGACTAGATGCATAAAAAATGAATAATTTTTTTTAGTAGAGCATACGTAAGAAATAACAGTCCGTAAATGATCGAAAGTAGTAAACATAATAAGTTTTTTTTTTCATTATTTCAAACAATGTAAGATATAATTTTTAACAACTATGCTAATGAATATGGAGAAGAAATATAGTATGAACAAATTGAATCTTTCCAAATGATTTAACAATATTTGACAGGCTCTTATAAATGTAAAATAGTCTTCATTTTTGAATACAATTAATTAAAATCTACAAACGGTTCAGTGTACAATGAACATCATCTATATTTATGTTGATTTTTCAAAAAAAAAAAAATTAAATCAAACTAAACTTTAAACATTATTCTGACAAGTTTTCATATTATGTAAAAAAAGAAATCGAATAACGTTTTTTTTTTTCTAAATTTCAATCGAAAATACGTTATCAATACAAGCTATAAAGCGAAAGTGTATATGATACAAATGAATTAACGACATTTATTGCTTTGTTCAACATGTATCAATCAAAAAGAGAAAGAAAAGAGCAAAAATAAAACGAGCCAAGTGTACTTTATTCGTTTTTTGTTGACTTCAACAACGGTCAGTATTGTGATCTCTTTCGTTATATCCTCACTCTTACATTATTCGATAAATCCTATTAACGTCATACAATATTCATATTAACTATGTTATTTATGTTTATAACATACATTCTTTTTCTTATCCGATTTTCCTTCGGTGATGAATGTCCATCATTAAAGTATTGTACATGCTCATCAGATAAAACTATAATACAGTGTACAAAGCGTCAATTAACGAACAAACTATTATTAAAGCTCAATAATCAATTATCTAAATCAACAATTCTCTTAAATCTTTCATCAAATTCTTTAACATCAATTAATTCTTTATCAAATTTAAATTCACTTCAAATACTTGATCTATCATTTAATAAAATTCAACATTTACCATCAAATATATTTTCTAAATATCCTCAATTAATTTCGTTAAATCTACAAAATAATTCATTAAAAACAATTCCAAAAAGTTTTACAAAAATTTCAAATATAAATCTTAATCTATTAAATAATCGATTTCATTGTACATGTGAATTTAAATTGTTTAAAAAAAATAATTTTTTTAAAAATGTTATCTGTCAAAATAATAAACCATTCAATGAAAATGATTTTTGTCATATAAAAAATTTTCTTCAAATTAATCCTCAACAATCACAAATTGCTTATGAAAATGAACAATTTATATTAAATTGTTCATCAAATTTACAACATTATTGGACATTAAATAAAAAATTCTATCCATCTACTATGACAACATTTTCATATTCAACAATAATTATTCATCATTTACAAATGAATCATTCAGGATTATGGACATGTCATAGTTTCAATTATAATCATTCAATACGGCTAACTGTTTTAAAAAGTTCACCGAATTATTTTTGTCAATCAATACAAATGAATACATCAAAAGGTTATTTTTATTGGCCACGTACATCAATTAATAAAAAACTTCCAAAATATTGTCCTTTTGGTTCAGCAGCATGGTTAAAAAATTCAAATGAATATGCTCAAGCATGGTATACTTGTTCATCTAAAGGACAATGGATTAATTTTGATATATCACAATGTGCATTTCAAACAAATATATCACGAGTATTTGATTATTTATCATTAAATGAAACAAATTTATTATTAAATTTAGTTGAATATCTATCAGAAATAAATCAAGATTATTTACAATTAAATGATATGATTTTATTAATTGATTTAATTGATGAACAAAAAGATAAATATCAACAGCACGATAGAATGATTTTAATTTATCATTTAACAGATTTTATTTTACAAATTAAAAAAAATGATTTTATTTTTTCAAATGTATATCAAATTGCAATAAAAAGGTTTAAAAAAAAAAGCTTTTTATAGTTTTTTTTTTTCAATAATTTATTTTTATTATTTAGATTAAGATTGATAATAGAACATTTATTGGATTTTACTAATCAATCTTGGTTATATATTGGAAAAGAATTAACTGCTATGACAATACAATCATCAACATTATGTTATGTACCTAATCGATCATTGTTAACAATTATTTGTGACATTGATAATCAATCTCATGAGGTTTGTTGACACATGAGAATTCGTTGGATAGCCGAAGTGTCGTCAGTATATCCCCCTGTAGTTTTACTAATTTGAGTCTAAATTAGATGCGAATTAAAAAATTTCTATCGACTAAATTGATCGGTTATGTTACTTACCTTATTAGTAAATCTATTTGTTACACTAGAGAACGAATGAAAAACAAGAATGATGTTTTCAAATCAGACTTATCTGACTCTTGGTCCGATGAATATTACGTTATGCTTTATTATCTGTTTTTTTTTAATATTAATCCGATTTTTTCGTATTAAAATCTAGAATTGCTCATATTCGAATGTATCCTCACTATGGCAATGATATATAAATATATTCTAACAATATTAGCTTCAGTCCACACTAGAGGATGTGGGTGTAGGTGTGGATGTTTTTTTCTATTTTTCCATTTAATATCATTTGGCTATTGAATTGACAGCTTTCGTTTACTGGACGTTACAATTGTCAACAATACATGCTACATAAGAAAAAAATGAAAGAGAATTTTCAGAGTTTCTATAATTTACATTGATTCCAGCTGCAATACAGAGCTCTAGTCCTCACATGTATTCTATATAAATATTGTTCGATAATTCCTGATGAAATCTCCCTGAGTATTTGTCATTGACGAAAGATTTATTTGCTAAATTCTGGAAGCCTAAGTCATTTTCTTTTTCAGTCTCCATTAGCAACAATTCAATTTCCATCTCATTTGAATGAAACAAGTCAATATTCATTGTATCGTATTATTATTTATCGCCGATCGACATTATTCACATCGAATGTGATAACCAATAACAATAATCCTGTTATTCATATACGACCAGGTAAAAATGTCAAACTTTTCTGTTTGAATAAGACTACAACATAAGTAAAGATGTGTGAGACTAAATTTTTTTAAACTAGGTTCCGATCTAGAGAGAAACTATTCCAGAATTTATTTGTATAATATCTGAAAAATAAATTCTTAAATATTTATCGTTAATTGATTTCTTTCACACATTTCTAAACATGAAAGAATAAATCTAAAAACTGGCGTACTACTCATATTTAAATCTTACTAACGGCTGATTCATTTAAATGAATTTAACTAGAGAAAATTTTCTAGATTGTATTGTTACATTGAGATGATAACTTGAACATAAATCCTAAGTTTGTCATTTATGATGACTTTGAAACGGTTATAATACTTTAATTAAGACATTAGTATCATCGTTTGACTCAGATTTACCATATCCAGTTTGTCAAATCGGAATTTATATTTCGATAAAGATTGTTTCCTATTTGACTATATGCTTTATTGATAGTTATTTTCTTGTATCTTTTAAAAAAAAGAGAGAGTTAAGACTAGTGATTAATGATTGCTGTACTTGTTTGAAGATTTTTATTTTTCATTGAAAAGAATTTTAAGAATCAAAATGATTATTCACTGCGACTGATTTTAATCTATTGGTCAATTTTCCATATTAATGAAGGAACATTTCTAGATGATAAAAAACTTTTGAGTTCAATTATTGTCCACAAGTAGGAAAAATATTGACTAGAAAAACTCAAGAGAATATGGCGTCAGCTGCAATTCAATTGAGACATCATTGGCTTTTTACTATGATTTTTCTTCAGCAATCTTTTTCCTCGATAAAGTCAAGCTTTCCAATTGTGACCTAAAACTCCTTGTATCAAGATTGTGGAAAAGTCATATCTCAGAGATAATTTGTCCAAAAATTCTGAAACTTAATGTTCAAACCAGTCTAATTGAGATCATGATGTGAGCCAATTTAAGCTAAAACTCAAAAGTTTCATTTTATCGAGGAAAATGATTGCTGAAGGAACACGGTTGTGAAAAGTCGATATTTCAATCGTATTATAATTTGCACCATATTTTCTTGATCTTTTTTCTAGTCTATAGATTCCTTACTTGAAGATGATACAGTCTTAAACAAAAGTAGCTCCTGCCTTCCATGAAATGCTACTATCCTTTATGATATTGAGCTGATATTTTGAATGCATACGTGCGACAATAAACCCTGATCACAATTGTTTACCCATTCTCTATCGATTCACATGTACTTAGGGTTATCCAAAAGCAGTGACGGAGACTCTTTTTTTCTTATAGAAAGCTTGAAAAAATTTTCTTTTTTTATGAATAGATAGAGCATCTTTTGCTCTATCTTTCTATGCTATTTGACCACTATTAAACTAATATCATAATAATAAAATTTCGATAAAAGCTATTTTTGTTGAAAACCAGCTGGTAACATTTAGTTCATAATGAGCGTGGTATTTTTGCATTCCACTTTATTATCACATAATATGTTGTATTACAAAAACGAAATATACCAGAAGATGTAGCGTGAAAAGCTCTACAATTTATAAAGTACCGCTTATTTTATAGTTGTACTTTTTGTTCTAAAAATGGACAAAACTCTGAGCTGTCAAATTTCAACGTTGCGAAAACAAGATTGTTTTTTTGGTAAAAGATGAATTCCGTTTTTCCTATCTCATGTTTTTATTACTTGATATGTTTTATTTTAAAAAGCAAAATACACTACAAGATGTAGCGTGAAGAGCTCTACAATTTACAAAGAACAACTATATAAAGATAAGATAGAAAAAGACCGAATTCGTTTTTTTACCAGAAAAAGGTTTCGTTTTCGTCACGTCGAAACTTGGTAACTCAGAGTTTTGTCCATTTTTAGAACAAAAAGTACAACTATAAAATAAGCGGTACTTTATAAATTATAGAGCTTTTCACGCTACATCTTCTGGTATATTTTGTTTTTTTTAATACAACGTATGGAGTGATAATAAAATGAAATGCAAAAGTGTCCCATTTTTTATACTACACCCATTATGATCTAAATGTTAGCAGCTGGTTTTCAACAAAAATAGCTCTTATCGAAATTTTATTATTATGATATTAGTTTAATAGTGGTCAAATAGCATAGAAAGATAGAGCAAAAGACGCTCTATCTATTCATAAAAAAAAGAACATTTTTTCAAGCTTTCTATAAGAAAAAAAAGAACCTCCGTCGCTACTTTTTGATAACCCTAGGTACTAAGATCTTGACTATATTTCATAAGTTTTGATGATACCAATGTAGACATATGAGACTACCTTTAGCGCTAGAAAACAGCAGTAGAATAACAAAGTGACAAATAAATACTTTTTCAATGAATATTTCCGCTGAATAAATTTTCACAAGGTAAAGAATATCTGTGAATCATAGCTTCAGTGCATATGAACCAATGGAGGGCGGATTGATGCTTGCAATCAGGATTTATTGTTACTTTTATCCAGAACTTGATTTGAATTCAAAAGCTGTTTATCATCTGACAAGGTTATTTCTTTTGTATTCATTTTCTTTTATTTGATCAACATTTAGTATTAAGCAATAACTTATCTACAATTAAATTGACATATTACGGTCAATTAGAACAAGCATCAATTGGAATTTGGTATTCAAATCAGTCCTCATGGCAAATGAACTCATCTATTTGTAAAATAAATGAACAAGTAGATATATATACTTACGTAATTTATTATATTTAAACATAGAGAAATCATTTTTATTTTTTTAAGAATTCTAAATTAATTTCAACAAATTGTATTTTATTCAATAATGATTCATTATCAATAACATATCTTAATCATAAAAATATTTTTTTCCATACAAATTATTCACAATATTCTATTTATATTTCCTCATTAATTGCATCAACGTGTTTCTTTATTTCTATTCTTGTATATATTTGTTTTCATAAGTAAATATAAATAATTTTCTTTTATACAAAAAAAAGAAAATATTCAAGTTAATTTTTCATTAGAGTTTATCAAATGTCAAGATGTTTTTTTCATTGTTCAATCAATTATTGGTTTAATCTTGGTATTTTATTACCATTATTTGCATTTGGTATGCAACAAAATCAATATCAATTTTTATGTCAATTTATTGCTACTAGCCTTCATTATCTTTGTTTAACAACAATACTTTGGTTAACATTATTAACTTAGTAAGAAAAATTTTATTTTTAATTGATATAAAAAAAAAAGAAAATTTTTCTCTTTAGTTTGATTTGGAGAAAACTATCCGTTATATCAACAAATAAAGATTGCCATAGAAAATTTTCAATAATGATTAATGATGGTTTACGAACAATCGAATTAAAATCTCAACCTGTTATTCAATTCTATTTATTGGCCTATGGAATAGCATTAATTATGTGTTGTATTAATATTGCTATATTACATGAACAATATATGATAAACAAAATGTAGGTAATAACGTGAATATTTCAATGGAAATGAACTGAACATATCGAAATATAAAATCGAAAGGAAAATGCAAGGATGCTAGTAACTTTTCTAATTCGGATCTTGATAGAACTTCTTCTCAGAGGCAAAATTCGTTCCTAAAGCTAAAAGTCTTTCAAATTGAAATTAATGACACATTTTTCTGATCTATACATAGTCAATTGTGAAGTCAAATTTTAAAGTTTTGACCTAAGAAAAAATTTCAGAGGAATATCGCCATAAATATGCAAGTGTCACCTGATTTCCAATTTCATGAAATGAAAAATAGTGAAATCATCGTTCCTTTTTTCTTCTAATTTATTAAGAACTTCATGTAAAGTAGTTTCGTTGTATCTTCTAACGATAAGAAATTTCAATTTTTAAAGATTTTGTTTTCATTTAGATGTTTTTTCAATAATTTATATTCAATTCTAATATTAATTATATCAATGTCCGTATTTATTATTATTTTACTTTTTTTTCTTTTATCTGCTTGTAATCATATAAAACGTTTAACAAATGAAACAAAACATTTAGATAATTTATCAAATGTATCTAAAATAAAACCAGAAAATATTTTATTATCAAAACCAAATGAAATCTTATCAATTTTAATTCCATTTAATCAAAATAATGAACAAGTTTTATCAAATAAAAATTATCAACATGAATCAATACAACAGTTATTATCAATATTATTTCAATTAATTCTTCTTATATTTTTATTTCTATCAAGTTTAAGCATTTATCTAAATCCATTACATTTATTTAAACTACGTTTTGAACATATTATTTATAGTCATCTATATGGATTTTTTGTTTTAGTTCTTTCATTTTATATATTTTCCTATTACGTTTTATTACGTATTGATTTGATAAGACATTATTATTTTAACACAAAAAAAATTGATCACTTATCTAATCAATCAAATATTGAATCATCATCATCATCATCATCAATAAATTTAAGAATAAATTATCAATATGATGTTCCTTCATCGCCAAAACAAATATCTATATTTCCATCATCATATTCCTATAATTCATCAAATATACATATTCCTGAAATATTACAAAATGCTTCAAGAACATCAATAAACTTTGATAATATGGATAATTTAAAACTTTACACAAAAATAACATCGGATTGTTGCATTTGTCATTGTCATATACTTAAACCCAATGAAATAAGTTCATCACAAAATACTCTACATGATACATTACCATCATCATCATCATCAACATCATCATCATTAGATATAATCATGCACGAGTATGTGTGAACATTTGTTGCTGATGAAAAAGAATAAAAGAGATTCGTAATCTTTTTTCATTGCCAGTGAAAAGAAAATTTTAGACAATTACATTTAAAATATTTAGTATATATAGATTGAAACGTAAAAGAGAGACTGAACAAAAGTTGAAATTGAGAGACATCAAGATAAATTTAGAAACTAAAGACTTAACTATCGCTAAATCTAATAACAATAAAAAGAAAACAATTCAATGATTTCAACAAAAATTTAAACTTTATTTGAAATGTAGATTCATAATCCTATTTATCAAATAACACAGATTTATAGCTCATGTTTAGTATTAAAAAATGCAACTATCTGAGATTTCCTCACATTGTTATACTTATCATAGTATTGCTCATGTTACATAGTCATCTATCTCACGAGGGATACACAGTGTGTTTACGCATTCGGGACATTATTTTCAGACAATAGTCTATGTTAATATAATTATGTAGTCGAAAGGCTATTCTTAATGTTTTTGAATTTGTTCACTATAAAGTAAAATACTCGAAATACGGTCCAAGACTTATAAACTTAGCAAAGATGAATAATTATTTTAATATTTGCAAAAAAGAAAAAGATTTCGATTTTCATGTTTTTTTAGAATTATTGATACACACCAATTTCAACATAATGCATTCAATGAACAAACAATACAAAGATCAATGAATGGTTCAATAGAATTTTGTTCAAGACAAACTGACAATATCCATGTAAAAATTTATTATGACTAAAAGAATTATAAAATTTTCTCTTATCCACTAATTTAGTTGCATTCATCTTCTACCACGTTATCTCAACCGCGAACATCTCCAGCTCTAGCAATTATTCGTCTATTACCCAATATTCATTTCTCTTCACGAAATATAAATAAAAATATTTCAAATTCTACAAATATTATTCAATCCAATGATCATATAAATCTATCGATTGAACCAAAACATATTAGTAAAAATGCCCAAAATTCTCCTTATATAAAGTCATTACCATTCACTGCAAAATACGATGCTACATACACTTCTGTAACTCAAACTGATCATTTAATTCAGCAAAAATCATCATCAAATGAAAAATTATCAATTTGGAAAAAATCTCCTTGTGGTCATACACAACTCGCATACATTGATCAAGATGATGAACATAGTGTTTCACTTAAATCATTATCTTATGATTCAAAAACATCATCAAGTACTATATTAAACAAAAAAGATCATATACAAACATTATCATCTTCATCAAATTTTTCCGATGATTCCTATTACGATATTATTCGTACAAATCAAAAAAAATTGCATGAAAGCAGTGTATAAATAAGTTTTTTTTTTTTTTTCTTTGATATTACGTAGTATTATTAACAATTGTAATCTGTTTTCTAACAATTTGTTTTCGTTTAAATGACATATTCAGTCTGTAATATTATCTTCATGTCAAATTTTTTTTTTCGAAAACAAAAATTTGCCATTTTCACAACAAAACAATGTGATCTACTATAAGCTTTTAGTACCTTGTTTTTATCGTTTCTCATGATTATTTAATGTGCTAAGAAAAAGGAATATGATTTAAAATTCTTTGAATCGACTGAAATTTGTAATGAAGTTTTTATTTTATTTGTCTAGGAATGTTTGAAACAATATAAATCTGATTTTTCGATTTATTCTCATTGAGATGTTCAAAACACATCGATGTGTATTTAGGACAGCCCAAAATTAGAGCCCTGCGGTTCCAAAAAAATGTAAATGAGAACCGAACCGAGAACCAGATTTTTCTGTTTCTCTTACCCGAAACCGGAACCGGAATCGTTAGGAAACGAAATTTTTCTTGAGGGTGAGAGTTTCAAGATGTGTAGATGTTGCAAGATGCACATTGTATCAGCATCTTTCTTCATTTATCCATGAAAAGTTTTCGTAGTCATCCTGGTTTTCAAGAAAAAGCTCTTAAGTTAGTTAAAACGGAAATTATCAAACGGCAGCCAATAATACTATCTACTAAATGTACAACTACTACTCCATCACCTGTTCATACAAATTCACTTGATTCTCAATCGACAACATCAAAAGGTCCTCTTTCATACTATTTTGATATACCACACAATTTCATAACATTGTCAACAACACCGTATGAATTAGATGAATATGTGCCATCAAATGTCCCATTCAGTGAACATGATAATGTTTTATAATTCCGCGACAACAGAATTTCAAATTATCGATCTTATTTTCTATAGCTGAAATTTTTTATACTGTACAAACATCGAACATCATTGTAGAAGGACTGTTCTTGTCTGCAAAAAAACACAAGTATCGATAAACGCATCGATCTTGGTGCAGAAAAAATACTCCTATTGTTATTTTTTCAGAAAAATTTAGCATTATTAAAATCATGTGATGAGAAAAATTGATGAAGTTGATACAACTGAAATGAGAAGAAAGATGGTTGAACAGTCATCTTCTACAATCTCGTGTCCAAACTAGATAACAATCTACAGCTACGACAACAAAAAAGAACGTTTATAATAGAGTAACGAAGACGATATCGTTCTTTGTGATCATGATCATTGAGAGGATAAGAAAATGATGACGTAGATGTTTTTTAGAACTTGTAATATTAATATTTCATATGAATATATTGTATGTTAGTGTTTTATCTCACTATTTAACTTTTTCTTCTACCTGTTGAAGGAGCTACTTATTTAATGAAGTAATTAACACGAAGAGTCCTAAAGATAAAAGGCAGAAATTTCTGAAAAAACTCAATTACTCGATATTTTGTATGTTACAGTAAAATCGTCGGTTCCTAGCAAAAATTTTAGAAACTGAAAAAGGAACCGCTTTTTTTTTCGATTTTGCTAACTGGAACTGCAGGGCTCTAATGCTCCTCCTGAGGCAGTAGATAAATAGAGTTGTAAATGAGAAAAAACGATGTTAATAAGACACTATACGACAAGAATGTGGCTTTGATACTACCCATCATTGTTCGCCGGAAACGACCTTAAATGGCGTTGTTTACGTTCCGAGGAAAAACGACCCGTAACCCGAGCTGACGGAAAACGGTGAAAAACGTGGCAGTCATTTTGCATTGTTTAGGGCAGTAATCATGCCGTTTTAGGCAGTTTAAGATGTCATTTGCGACTGTCGGAATGATCGACTTGGATGACCTCACTTGCCCTTAACATCCACAGATTCATTCGCTCATCATACATTTGCACTCGTAACACGTTCAAATATATATATCAATTCAAAAGAAAATTCAGTCAATTTTAACCTTCTGTTCGATTAACAAAAAAACATGTTGATGACATAAATCATTCAATTGAGTACACTATAAGTGTACGAGAACGGTTTGATGATATTCAACAACGTCCAGTATACTGAGACTTTACAATAGTCTCCAGATCATTTGTGTTTAGATCTCATGTTAAACAAATTATAATCTTGTATTATAAGTTAAACAATTATTTTAGTCTCATTTTGAAAACAACATAAAAGTATATAGATTTGACAGATTTATTAACAATATTATCTTTCAACATATGCTTCTTATCTTAGTAAAAAGCATCCTTGAAATAATAATTATTTGGTTAAGATAAATGGTTTCTTAATACGTTTTTTCTCTTTCATTTAAATGTGGACACAATCAATTTATCTCTGTCATTTTTTTTTTTGATAATAACATGAAGACAAATTTTTATCAGACTTCTGTTATTGTTTTCTTTTCTCTTTTTTTGTTCAAAAAAATAAGTTAACTAAAAGAACACAATCATACAGTATGAAAATGCGAACAGATAAAGAACTTATCGTTCCCTATGTATCCTATATTACGTTGGGTATTGTTGCGCTTATTATTATTTTAATGGTTTTATTCAAAATTGCTGCAAGAGATAATAGATTTTTATCGAATTCGGAATTGTATATTTATTCTCAACCTGATCTTAATCAACGTAAACATAATGCAAATAAAAATCAACGTAAAAATACTTTTCTTACATAGAAATCTACTGGATTAACAAAGGCTATTCCATCATGGAATTGAATAAATTTTTCATCATTTAATTCTTTTATTTAGTTATCAAGTTATATTATTTATTATTGACAATCACAAATCATCTTATATTCTATTTCATTTAATACTTAATGTTAAACTCACTATTGTTTGGTGTTGTAAAAAACCTGTATGTGAATGGAATAATATCATGTAAATAGAAGTGATTTATCTTGCCGTCTGAAGATTGTTTTTTTACAATAAATATTCAATTAAAAGAGACTCTTATTCTGAGAAAATTCTATTAGTTTTTCATACTTTGTTGAATGAACTAGTATCATTTGTTTTGTTTCTTGTAATTGATTTCTCTACTAATAATCTTTAGCTTTTATTTTACTATAACAAGTATAAAATGCTTTTTTTTCTCGAACTATTTTATGAATCTCGAGATGTTGCTATTTTAATGGAAATTATTATAGTAGTATGAAAGAATACATCGTCTCTTTGCTCAGAAGTCATAGATATGGTAATGAAAATATACGATTTTAGATATCGTTGAGCAAAAAAATGTTATGTATTCGAACGTTTTTAGACCAAACCTACTTCTATTGTAATATATGCCAAACCAAAATATAAAATAAAACGATATCGAACAATTGTCAGTGTTTTTTTGTAAGAAAACTCCAAATATATATATCTCAAAATTCAATTTATTTTACATATTGCCTAGAAAATTTTTATGTTCAACTTCGAAACGATTGAACTATAAGAGCGCTCATTAACTTTTCAATTAATTTTTCATCATACCCTACCGACATCTATTTCATCGCTAAAAATTCGTGAGCAATTAAAGTATTCATTTAAACGTCTAATAAATATTTCAAAGTCTAAAATAATTTTCAAAAAGATTCATTCTTAATCTTTTTAACTATATATAAATTGGTTGTGAACAAAACGATAAATGATAACCTCTATGATGTTGTTGATCAACTTATGGCCGACAAGCAGTGACGTCGTGATTTAACGGTGCCCCCTATCCCTATAGATTCAGTGGCTCCACTTCCTTAATTATTTGATTTTATTTATTTGAAATTCATAATAAATAAACAGAGAAAAATTATAATAATGACAAGTGAAATACGTCGTTCAACACGATCTCGATCAAGTTTAAATGTTAAATTTGTTGATGATCCTGATTATGATGAACATACGTTTGAAGACGATCAGGGCGACGATGACAACATTGACGAACTGCCGGTGGCGCGTGTGAAACAAGAGCAGCAGCGACACACTAGTCAAAATAATAATACCAATAGTAGCATTATAAAAAGACGTCGTGGACGGCCCGCTAAACATGAATTATCACATGATAATGATGAAGATTGGCATGTTGAAAATGAAGAAGACTTTTCAACTGTTACATTGAGTCCTCAAGTAAATTCATCTGTTTATGAATTTAGGTAAAGAATATTTTCTTTTTATTGTATCTAATTTGTACTAGTCTGTTGTTTTCTTTTTTGATTGTTCAGTGAAACTTCAAATCGAAAAAGTATTGGTTCAACAGGAAATAATATTTCACGTGATTCAATAAAAACGTCAATTAAAATTCGTCGTGATGAAAAACATTTATGTCCTTATTGGTAAAATAAATTCTATTTTATATTATATATAAATAATTCTTTTTTGTTATTTATTAAGTAATTATTGTACGGGTAAAAAATATCTTCTTCAACGTCATCTTAAATCTCATTCAACTGAACGACCACATAAATGTAATTTAGAAAATAAACAATATATTAATTATAAATCATTTTCTTTAGGTACATACTGTTCAAATACATTTAAAACAACAGCACAATTACAAAATCATGTTAATACACATCTTGGTATTAAACCATTTCAAGTAAAAAAAAGAAAAAAAAAAGTTCTTTTTATGAATATTTTTTATTTTATTAATTCATATTTCTAGTGTAAATTTTGTGAATATAAATTTACAACAAGTGGAGAATTAATTCGTCATGTTCGTTATAAGTAAATTAAGAGCATTTGAATATTAATAATATATACAATGTCACTTAAAATTGATTACACACCTAAACAACAACTTTTTTTTTCTAATATCTCAAAATGATTTCAAAATATAGAGTTATAATTTTCGTCAACATATAATCCTGTTTTCATTGTTTATTTAACTTATAATGCAAAAGTAATTATTGAAATCTCGGACTCATAGTTCTTCACTTATAAACATCGTAGAAAGTTCATTCTTTTTCCTATTGAAAGAGTTTATGCAACATACTCTTTTTAGTCATTTTTATATATGATATATGAT